CCCCAAAACCCCAAAACCCCAAAACCCCAAAACCCCATAAAGCAGTATCCTTATTGAAGTAATATCAGTATAATAGGAAACTAGATAGACAGGCCTATTTTTGAAGCACTCCTATTACTTCTTTAAATTCTTCGCGTCTTTTGACTCTGATAAAGTCACAGTACAGTTGAGGATCTTCAGATCATCTGTTGAGTCCTCATCAACTGTGAAGTATCCCTTTCTGAGGAATTGGAATCTATCATATGGCTTAATGTCAGAGAGATGTGCCCACATTCTAGCATTTTCTTTAACAATTAAAGAAACTGGGTTAATGGCACCCATCCAATCTTTTCCTAAAGCTTTTGGATTTTCATGAGTAAAAAGTCTATCGTAGAGATTGACTCTAGCATTGATGCTATATTTTTCACTAACCCAATGAATGCAACCCTTAACTTTCTTTTCAACTTCATCTACTTTCTCAACAACGAGATGACTCAAAGATCCGTCTTCATTCTTAACAACTTCCTTAAGCTTGATATAAGGTCCACTAAAAATTCTAACAGGCTGTTCTGGGGTAAGTCCAAAGTACTTAGCCTGTGGCTCTTCACTGAAGTCAGCTTCCTCAATGAAGATACTCTTAGTCAAAGTGTATGTGATCTTTCCTTTTTCTGGATTTCCAGGGAAGAGGTCAGCTTCATTAGAGATCTCCTCGTCATCTCCCATGTTGTCAATAACAACTCTAATAGGGTCAGTGACACAGTAGGTTCTTGGTGCATTCTCATCAAGATCTTTTCTAATGAAATGCTCTAAGAGTTTAACATCAACAACATTTTCATTTCCTTTTCTGGAAACACCAATGCAGTCACAGAACTCATTGATAGCAGCTGGAGTGTATCCTCTTCTCTTGAGACCTTCAAGAGTGAGAAGTCTTGGGTCTCTCCAAGAGTCTACATGACCTTCTTTGATCAAAGCATCGATTTTTCTCTTAGAAAGAATAGTGTTACTGATGTTTAGTCTTGAGTATTCCCACACTACAGGCTTAAAGATGTCTAGAGCATCAAGAAGCCAATAATAAGACTCTCTTCTATTTTCAAACTCTAAGGTACAAAGAGAATGACTGACATGCTCGATACTATCGCAAATGCAGTGAGTATAGTCATAGGTTGGATAAACACACCACTTATCACCAGCATGAGGATGAGGAGTATATTTAATCCTATAAGCTACATGATCTCTCATGTTGGAATTTTTGTGGTCCATTTGTCCCTTCATTCTTAAACAACATTCTCCTTCTTCAAATTTTCCTTGTCTCATTCCTTCAAAGAGTTCAAGATTCTCTTCAACAGTTCTATTTCTGTAAGGTGAATCTACGCCCTCTTTTCTTCCTTCTTGCATTTCTTTGGCAGTTTGGTGGCAGACATAAGCTTTTCCTCTTTTGATAAGCTCGACGGCAAAGTCATATAATTGTTGGAAGTAATCACTACTAAAGTTGACTGCTTTTGGGGTGTATCCAAGCCATCCTACGCATTCGCGAATGCTATCAATATACTCCTGGCTTTCTTTCTCTGGATTAGTGTCATCATATCTGAGGTAACAGAAACCATCATTATCTGCTGCCATCATAAAGTTGAATCTCATTGCCTTGGCATGGCCAATGTGGAGGAATCCATTTGGTTCAGGTGGGAATCTTGTAATAATCTTTCCTCCAGTAATCTTATTGTGCTCCTCAAGAATCTCGGGCTTGTTGTGGGCATCTTTAAGATCTCTTCCGATCAAAGAGCTGATGCTCTTTCTCTTATACATTTCAAAATCATCTTCTTCTTCCTTGTTCTTTGACTCTTCTTTTGATGGCTTTGGTTTCTTAGGTTTCTTTTTCTTTCCACCCTTGGGTTTTTCTCCCAAAATCTCAGTAGTCTTCTTATTGATAGAGTTCATAATAGCTTTTCCATCAGCCCATTTGAGTGCATCTCTTGCTTGGTGGATAAAAGTGGCAAATTGGAAGTCCCATTTTTCTTCTTCAATTTTGTCTTTATTCTCTTCAAAAACCTTGTTTACAAACTCATCGATTTGTTCCTGAGTTACTGTAACTCCTACTCCACATGCTTCATCGAACTTAGCAGTGTCTAGGTCTCCAGTTGCGGATTTTAAGAAATCGAAAGCAGCATTAAGTCTATCAGTGGTGTCAATCTTTCCTTCTCTAATGTATTCGACTAAAAATTTAGAGTGTGCCTCTGCAGTTTCTGGCATCTTAGTAGAAGTGGTGTACAGAAGGTTTCCAACGTTCTTATCAGCACTAGTGATACCTCCAAGATCAAGCAGCTCAGCTAGTCTCTCTGATACCTTTGCGTTCTTGAGAATGTTCTTAACAGTGTTAGGAGCGATACAAATATCCAAAAATCTTTGCTCAAAATTATTAGTCTCCATATTTATTATTAAAAAGCATCAACATATTTTTCTTATTCCGAATTTGTTTCAATTAGCCAACAGGAAAGAGGGGTTTTGGGGTTTTGGGGTTTTGGGGTTTTGGGG